GGGATTGACCCGCCCGAGCTGCCGAACAGCTCGGTGCCGGCGCGTGGCGGGCTGGACGCGCGGCGGCGCTCCCGGCCCTCCCCACGGCGCAGCCGCCGCCTACGCTGCACGGCGCGCGGCATGTCAAACAGATTGGCCTTGATGTAGTGGACGAGCCATCCCATCAGAGCCAATGCGCGTTCCGGTCTGGTGTGCGAGGTCGTCTCGGGACCGCCGTCACGACGCGATGGTCGGAAAGGCCCTCCCAGACCTCTGTCTTCGCGCTTCCAAACAGTGTCTGCAGATCCAGCGTTTTGCTGTCAGCACAGCTGGCTAATTGACGTCTTCCTAGAATGGAGCGACCGACGCCTCGCTCTGGCGCCGCTTTATGAGAAGGGAAGGACGGCGAGGCACGCGGTTACAGATCGATTTCAGTTCCACTGGCATGGTTGCCATGCACACTGTCAGCAGCTTGAGCCCGTCACGTTCTTGGAAGTGTTGATTGCGAGAGAGGCGCAGCTTGCATGTGTCTGGCGTCGACATCTAGATGAGGCCATGAATTATTGATTAAATGAGCTCATGCATAAACTTTGCCAGCAAGGGACCCAGCAACTCTCTTATATCCCTATATATTTGTACCGACTTGCTTGCTCCACGCTGTGCGCCATAGATCCCTGCTGTATTTTACGTCAGATTTGGCACGTGCTTGGGTGGTGTTCAATTTGATTCCCGAAAGTTTTGCAGAATAATTTTGAAGACGGCGCGAGGCAGTCGTGTCTTAAATTACCATTATTATTATATGTAGACAATGAAACGGAGGATCTTTCGGTACGAAACATTAGGTGTAAATTGTAAGATCGCTGATCTGTGGTAGATCAAAGCCAGGCCATGGCTATCAGCGAAGGAAATTCCCAGGGAATCGTTCAATCTGATGCAAAAATGGGTTGTCAGGCTATGCCATATATCTCATATAATCTAAGAGAGTTTCTTAGACAATTAACCAATTATACTTAGGATTGCAACTAGTTCCATTGACCTTGGGTCAGGTATGAAGGTTGTACCGAAGTAAAAGTCAGACTTATTTTTGCTGGCAAATTCGCTTTATGGAGTAATTTTTATCTGATCTGGATCTACTCGCAACTCTTATTTTGACTTCTTGAAGGTAATTGACCTAAAATGGCTCCGATCAATCTTTTTTTTTGGAACATGCCGCCTAGAACCTTTGATACTTACATGCATGAAGCAAACTCAGAATAATCTCGTAAGGTTTTGGTCACCGTGACCTCCTGAAGGTGAAATCCGAGCACTGGCCTGAGATGAACATCAATAATCTTTTGTCTATAACAGATAACTAGGGTAGAGGTGGACGCGTGATGAGGTCTAGGGGCGCATCGGACACCGATGTGGACTTCAACCTTTTGTTTAACCTTATTTGACCCAAAATCATGATCTATAGGCCTCGAAATTCAAGACAAGTGAGCTCACATGCAGACCTACCTACCCGGGGAATTTGGTGTCTTTAACTCTCTTAGATTTTTTCTAAATCTCAGAGGGTTGCATTGCCCCCCCCCCCCCCCCCCACCCGTCCACCGTCCGAGCGCGTAGCAGTGGACGGTCACCCAGGCGTGTGTTGAGCGTTCTAACAACCCTCAGAAATACGTTTATGTGACACATGCACGGTATGTGTTCGTCGCCAAGTTTATGCAGCAGTGTACGCAATGTTTTGGATTTTGTAATCGAGGCTTAGTTACTTTTTATAACAGCATTGTTGACGGCGGTTGAAGTGAAACGGAAACATACGAGTCCTTTAACTTGATGTCATCTGCTGCTGAGAATGCAAACATCTAACATGATTAGATGCATTCAGCAAGTTCATAAAGACAGTTATATTCGGATCGGTTAGGTTTTTCATGGTGAGCGTAGTGACTGGTTTCAGTGACATTTACTCCATCTTCGGTCTTGCAAATACTACAAGTGATGACAACAAGTGTTCTCTGATGTGTAATCAGATGTGGGCGGTGGCATGCGCCTTAAACACACACCCAACGGGGAACGAAGACATTTCACGTGTAGTTCCCTTCCCGGGGCTTAGTCGTAATACGTAAGCTTAGGTTTGGGTTGGAGTTTATAGCCGGTCACATAATGGAGGATCGAGCAGAGCAATGAGCGGTCTTAGCCCGCCCGGCATCAGCCAGTGCCGTCAACCAATCAAGTCGCTGTCAACACCCAGCCACCGCGGGTAGACCGGACGAAACATCAAGAAATGCATTGTCCCTTCGAAGGTTTCAAGCCTAAATGAGACGTACCTTCGTTACATGTCATAGATGCGATTGTCCGATGAGCGATGGCATGGTATATAGGGAAGGTAAATTGGCCTGCTGAAACATAGACCATTTCACACTTTTGAAACGGAAGCAGATGCAACGATCAACAAACGCAGACCCACCAGCCGGGCCAAACAGTATTTTCAGCACCTTTTGGGCTTTGAATCTGCTGCTGGACATCGCGTACCCATCCCAGAAATCGTCACTGCGGAGCGACTTGGCACGTGCCGGGCGACGCTCGAGCCAAATCGACCTCGCCAGCAGCCACTGGCCGCCGAGATGTCGAACTCAGTGACGTCAGACGGCTATTCTGGTGTCCCCAGCCGCCGTCCGGACCGATGTCAAGTCCAACTGTTTCGCCTAAAACAGAAGACGGATGCTCCGCCCGCGCGTTTGGACCATCCGAAACGCGATGTGCTTGTAGAAAACCGAGCCTGGCAGCGGACGTTAGGCCCTGAAAAAGAACATTTAAGATGGAGCAGTCTCGGGCCGTTTTCGGGAGCACGATCGTTCCTTTCAGCACAGTGTCAGCGGCACCAGCCGGCACAGTTAGTGAGGAGGCTATCTGCACTACTCAGGCACAACCAGAGCATTCCGGAAGTCCAGGGGATTTCTAAGCTATCCTGTTCCGGGAACATCTAACGTATTGATAAAATGCACCGACATTCATGATATGTGAAATGGAATGTACCGATCGCGTTGCATGATGGAATGGCTGCTCCAAGTGCTTAAGCGCAGTAATTTCGCGAGGTAGCGCTGAAACCAGTGCCTTTTGTGTAAGCTAGGCTGTCATATCAGTCTTTTCTTGTTCTCTCGTGTGTCTCAAAAATAGGGCGGAGGAGACAGCGAAGAGGGATTGAAGAGGCCAGTAGAAGGAAGAAGGTTGGGGGGAGCTGCGGTGGATGGTAGGCCTCCGCACAGAGGACAAAGGACTGGCCCGGTACCAAAAACGACACTCAGGGCAGGGCTGAAAGCATCATCAGATGGCAAGGCGGCGTTAAGCAAATAACAGAAATGGCCTGCACTGCTGACCACAAACAATCATTGATGCACTCGTGGGCCGAGTGGGCTGCCATGTGGACGCTGACAATGTTGCGGTGGGACCTGTTTGTTCGGGTCCGAATGGAGCGCATGTGCTCTGCCCCTGCATCTGGCACATGGCGATTGATCACTCACGGCATATATATTTTGCTTTAGATTTTATGAGACTGATTACGTTGGATTGGTCACGGTATATTATAAGGCATTCAATCGCGCCTCCGGGGCAGTCGACAGACGTTCAGTATAGTGGCATGGTCTCCGCAGTCAAAGTGCCGCTCAAACAACAAGCTTCGAAAAATTATACCCTTGAATTGGAAGATTAAGAACCAATGGCATGCGCCAATCGCTTTCGTCTTCTTACAAAGGAACTGTCTTGAAATTCTAAAAAGCCAGATGGGAAAGAAAAAAAACTAGCTGATTAGGAAATAAATAAATTGAAGCGCGTGCGGACTGCACAACACAGACGCTGTTATTCCCCTCGACAGAATACCATTGGCAAATTCAAATTCAGAGGAGCGTATGAAAGCGTTTGCCCGCGGTCGATCAGTCTGATGTGAGTGCCTCCGCCGCCTAGCGGTTAAAAGGAACGCTCCTGGAAAAATTCCGAACAGGTCTGGGCGCGTGCGTCGAATTCGTATCAGCGGCGTCAGAGGCCCAGCTGGCCTGCCTGGGACCACGACAGAACTTCCACTGGAGCGACCTGGTGTGGCCCGGTCATGACGTTTTCCCGAAACTCAAATCTTTTTGCAACTACCCGCCGCATCTTCATGCGGTTTCAAGTTGCAAGAAATGGGGGTTCTTCAGTGATGCACTTCGAGGCGTTTGCAAATTTCCTGCAACATTGAAATTTAAACAAAATGAAGACTTCTCAACTCATGTTGGAGAACGCACTGATGATACTTGGATATCTGTTTACATTGGGTCAAGACACGTGGTTAGAGAACGTCCGTAGAATACCAGATAATGTTTGCTCGGCTTAAAATAATGTAAGCCTAATTCCAATTGTTTTATTATCTAAGGAAATATCTCAAAGATGTAGCGCTTCGTCTGGCACTCCGCTGTCGCATCAGATTGAACGATTCCTAAAAATTCCTTCCCCGACAGTCACGGCCTGACTTTCACTTGCCGTAGGCCAGCGACCTTTCAAGGTGCGTCTATTTTTGTACCAAACGATCCGTTATTCAGTTGCCCGCAACTGTTCAAAATTTGGCGCAGGCACGCCGCGCGGTTCGTAGACTATTTTGTATAAACCTGAGGGGGGGGGGGGCAAAATGACACATTCACCCGAGCGCGTGTTAATGTAAGGCATTGGTACCAGTATGTGGCCCACAAAGTCCTTTCGCTCTTGGGCAATGTGTTCCGTTCATGTTCACGTCTGCTGTGTTAAAGGGTCGGGTTGCCACGCCATGAGTGCAGTCTGCGCCTGGCGAGCGCTGAACGATGGTAATTTCATTCGGGTCGATCCCACGCGGCCGCGCCCGGGGCGTTCACCGCTTCCTGCCGCCCCTCTGCCCATGCCCCTCCCCCTCTCGGCCGCGGCGGGCCAGCGCGCCGGACGCGTTCGGTCAGGGGGCGGGGGAGGGGGAGGGGAGGGCGCGCGCCCGCCGCACTCGGGCGGGCGGGCCGCCTGGCGCGGCAGTACGAGGGCGGCGGTGGGGCGGTTGGTGGGCGGCAGGCGTGTGCGGCTTCGGAGCGGCATCCGGACAGGCGGCCGACGCTGGCATGTGAGCGGCAGCCGACGCCAGCAGACGCACGCTATCTGCCAGCCCATCCGACGGACGTCCGGGCGCAGAAGCAAGCCCGGCTCCTTGGCGAACATTTCGGTATTCGCGCACCGTCTCTTCCTAGTGCGCTGGTGCTAGGTAAGTCAGCCGGGGGCGGCGACGTGCTTCATAATCGCTTCATAATCGTGTGCACAGTAATGACGGCATGGTTGCCGTGCTGATAGGGTTTTGTGGAGTGCATATCACTGTAACCAAAATTTTGCGATGCGCTCGATGCTTCGATGCAAACACTGTTATGGGGTCGTGCTTACAGTAAGGCCTGCCTTAGCTCAGAAGTTTGTTCATTCGCGGGTGGGCGTGTCTGAACAGTGACGATGGACCCCCGAGAGCCCACGGCAATGATTGGGCGAGCTCAGTTTTACACTGTCGCTTTCCATGCAACGGCACTGGGTCAATACTGAATCTGTCCGTACGTGTGTTGACGGCGGCTGGCTGGGAGTCTCCCACTTCCACTGTCCCTGGGTTGGAAACGCACCTAACAGGGACCGAGGTTTCCTTGCATAGCCGGTGATACGGCCAGCAGCGCACCCAGTGGCGCTGCCAGGCGCGGTCTTGAACTTTTCAGCTGACGCCTGCTGCGAAGCCAGTAATCAGTAAGCCGGTACCGGGCACGGTACCGGGCACACAAAAACATAGTGAGAATTGAGGGAGCTAAACGCCATTGGTTGTGCGCTATATGCCTTAATGGGCCGAAGTAGCTGATTCTGCTTCTTGACCATATTTGGACTTAGCAGTTATTGATAGATGCGTATGACTCAGTCCCCGTGGCGCCACAGGCTGCTGCCTCAGTAGGCGGAGCTTGGCTGTGAGGCACAGGGTCCTGACTTGCGTTCTTCCATGGAACCACTTGTCCAATCACACCGAATGATTACCATCTGTTAAAAAGAGCCATGCTTGAAGAGCAGGCTGGCAACGTCATGTTTTGCCGCCGCTCATCGGTCTAATCCTTTGAAAAGGATTTTTTTCAGCATTTGGTGTATCCTACAGACCTTATGCTGGCTGCGTCTCTGTGCCGTCCCCCTCCCCCCACATACTAGGCGAGCCTCTACCCCAGAAGCCCAAACAGTGCCTAGAAGCGATGTGTCAGCACGAACAGGGGGCGCCGAGTCGGCACGGCCGACGGGGTGACGGCCAGCTGCCCCGGAGCTGCTGCGGCTACACTTCATACGGTAATAACAGTTCCCACCGAAGTCTTGTCAAATTAGCTCTTAAGCCTCAGGCCGATTAGCCCAGCACCACATCTTTGCGTTGTAAACTTGTCTGGGGTTGTCTTCCTTTCCGGTGCCGGTGAGGTGCAAAAATGCGAAAAGGGTACATCTATACAAAAAGTGTGTCTCCTTTGTGTCTGTGTCTGTGCCTCCGCAAAGGTAGTTTCTGTGGCGAATAAAACCACGAGAGACCAGAAAATTCCAAGCTAACAAAACACTTCTCAGTTTAACAGGGACTTTGAATACTTGTATGTTATCACGAACCTTGCGGTCTGAACGCCTCGCTTCGCTTAAGACCGTGCAGAGTGCGTAACAGCATGTCCCGCAGCTCTTCAGAGGAGTGCACCTGGCTTCGAGTGGCCTCAAGCACCTCGTTTTCAGCGTTATGAGAGGCTTGTAGGTCACGAAGTGCCTGCATAAGGAGGACAGGCTGTCTTTTGATGACTCCGCCATTGGGCACATTTGATCGATTGACCCACGCAGCATGATCCCTAGCTTTATTTCTCCCGTAATTATTAGAAAAGGCATCCCGAAATACAGCTAGTACGCCCGGACAAATTCCTAGCAGTTCAAATATTGGCAGGTCTGTGCGTTGTTATTAACTGTAACGCGGGTGACTACTATAGCATAAACACAGCCAAAAACATCATGGCTGTGAATTCAGCTGCCATGCGGCCATACTGGCACCAAAATATCGCACAATTATCACAGTGTAAGAGGAAATAATGAACGTCAGGCTTCTTATCATTTGTGTGCGGGGATTCCGGCAATAGTGAAGATACTGAAGCAGACGAGATGATAAGCAAGAGGATGCACTGCAACGTTACACATGTCTCACTAAAAAACTGTGCTTTGATCGGCCCAGTTCCGTAAATGGTATGATTGCATCTGTTCACCCGGGAGCTGCACTGGACAGCATTCAGATAAATCACTGATTTCGCACCAGACCATCTTAATGTTCACTAGGACTTCCGTGATAACGTGGGGTCCATTTTTTCTAACTCCCGAACAAGGCTCCGATTACGTCGCGTTATCGGTTCGCACTTTCGCTGGGAAGTTAGTTTGTCGGTTCTGGTGATTACTCGCTTTCTGGTCATGTGTAGCATTTCCCAACGGACATCACTCAGAACCCAACTAACAGTTGACAAGCATTCCACGTTCCGCGAACCCGAGACTCTTAGAACCGATGTGGCTAGCACCGCGGTTGTCAGTGAATCTCGGATCGGCCATGTGCGAGCCTGTACAATCTATATCAGTCGAGACCGCCGGATCGGCAGGACGTGATTCGTCACGTGGTCCACCACTGTCGAGGGTGGTATTCGTCACGTGACCACCACTGTCGGGGCGGGATTCGTCACGTGACCACCACTGTCTGGGTGGATTCGTCACGTGGAACATCACTGTTAGGGTGGGACGCGCAGGTGCACAGGTGGACTTATATACATGGTTCAGCTTGGGTGGAATGTATTTTTTGTTCCGGATTAGATTTAAAATGCCCGATGAAAAGCTGGAATTCAGTCCGAATCTGACTTCCGGCATGGTTAGAGAAGTGCTTGATCTAATGCCGAATCGGTACTCTGAGTCGAATCAAGTTTTGCTATATATATATATACACTCCTGGGATCCCTTATGGTCCTCCAAAAATCCACAAACCCTCTTTTCCCTTAAGGCCGGCTTTTCAGCAAGCGGCACGCCCTCCTATAAACTGTTGAAATTTGCTTGTGCCCTTGCTAACACTCTTAAGCATAGTTGAACACTCTGACTAGTTCTACTTGATTTGCTCAAGAAATTTCGCGGCCTGAGTGTTTGGAAGGCATGGTTATGGCCAGCTTTGATGTTGAAAGCCTTTTTACAAATCTTCCGCTTAAAGAAAAATACACATTTGCGTGAACAGTTTGTTTGTGTCCTGCTCTACGTTCATGAGCTTTACTGCACCCTGTTTTCGCTCTCTATTTGAACAAACTGTCATAAGCTCCTTCCTTATCTTTAATGGAAACCTGTATGCACAAAAAGGAGGCGTGGTGATAGGATTCCCTTTTGGACCCACTTTTGTCAATATATTCATGTGATTTTACGAAAAGCACTTGCCATCCAACTGCCCCCTGGCTTTCGATCATTATTATTTCAGCGACACATTGAACACCCCTTTGTCTTTTCGGCACAGGCTGCGCGTTGATCAATTTCCCTCTTACCTTAACGACAAGCATTCTAACATAAAGTCTACGAAGGAGGAGAGGGATGGAATCGGCTCTTTGTCTTTCATTGATATGCGAGTTCAAAAGTCATAAGGCCAATCTGAAACCTCTGGCTAAAGAAAGTCGACGACCCCTGGTCTTGGACTGAACTTTCTCTCATTCCCGACGCTTTTCAGCTACGTGGTATGAAAACAGCTTTTTACAGAGCTTTCCTTTTCTCTTTTGTTCCGACCTTGATCGGCTCAGATCGTTCGTTCAGGGAAACGGTTTCCCGCCTTCAATCATTAATAATTTGATTAACAGCTTCTTGGATGCTAAACTCGTCAAAGCCTCGACCGTTCGTGAAGGCCTGAAGCTAAATAAACACTTGCTGCTGCCCTATTTTGGAAAAGTCTATGTAAATGAAAAATGAGCTTGCAAACCTGCAACGAGATTTTGTACTCTCTTCTGTCTCCCGGAATAATCTTAGTTAACTCTTTTATTGTTGGTTCTCTCTGTAAGTTAAAAGACAAGCTTCCCAAGTGTTCTGTCTCTGCAGTCATTTATTAATATTGTTTTCCTTCGTGTGGAGCATTTTAGAGGGTTCAACCCTTCTTAATTTGCATTGCAGAGTGCAGCAGCATTTGGGAAGGTCTGACCGTACAGGAAGCATTCATGCACGTCCCAGATCCTTTGCTCATCTGCGACCATTCATTTTACGTATGACACTGGCTTAAGCATTGAAAACGTTTCCGTAATACGACGCAGCAGCAATTCTCTCGATCTTGGATTTAGGATCACTTCATTTGCCTAAAAAGCCGCCATTGAATAGCATGGGTTTGCACATCCTTTGCAACTTATAGGGTAGCCTTTTTCACATGGAGTCGAAGGAGTATTTCGTCGCTCGATTTTTGCATTTTTCAATATGTCTGTTTATGCGCAGAGAGGTCGTGCTGAATGCTGTAACTATGACCGTTGTCATGTCTAGCGACGTTGGTTGAGTGATCTAATATTTCATTGTAACTTGATTGAACTTGTGCCAATCTACTCATCCTGATGATGATGCGCCATGTACCGAAACGGCGACAGTTGCATAAATGATGCCGTCGATTGCTGTCCTTGCCATAAAGTCTTGTTGCTTCTCATTATCCGAAGATGTTACAGACACACAGTCTAGAGCGAGAGCGAGAGCGATATATAGAGCTAGAGATGATATATATATATATATATATATGCATTTACATATATACATATAGATATCTGCATGTATATATGCATATATTGACATCTTTATGAGTATGTTCCTGTAGGTGTCAAAGCTTCTCGAGCGCTTGCGATGGATGGGACAATGCAGATATTACCAGGGATTCATATAAAGCAACTGCATCTTTTTTGTCTGCAATGCTAAAGAAATGAATGGCTTGGCACATGTTTGGTAATATTTCATGTCCCATTCAATGTTCTCTCATGGCAGTTGAGGAACTCATTTCGAATAACGCTAACTTATTAACCATAGTGAACAACCCGGAGATCCGGGTGGACTCGTTTTGAAAATCGGTTATCGTCCAAGTGGAAGCTCTGTCGCAAATCATGCAAGTCAATTCTGAACCAAGTGCACCCCTGCCGAATTGCCAAAGGAGCCTGATCGGAATCTGATTCTGGTCCAGATAAAATACATTGTGGCATCAGATTCGATTCCCCTAGGTCGTACTCAAGATTAATCGAATGGAGCTGTGTCCTTATTCGCCTCAATCCAATATGTGAGCCAGGATCATTTGTCATACAACTATTTTTGCCACGTTTAGAATGTCATGCGGTAATGTCTATGCCTAGAAAGCCTCAGAAATTGCTAGAAAGTTGTTTTTGGGTTTGTAGGTACATGCCTATTTCGTACGTACATGTCTGTTGATTTCGATTATGTTGGACATTTTGCTCTCTGCTTAAAGTGAACCAGTCCAGAAGCCAAGAAAGTCGTAGTTTTGCTGTCCGAGCATAGCGAGTTAGATGGCCTGGATCAAGCCAGGTAGGGAGACTAAAACACTGCTGAGCCTTACGGCACGAAAGTTTACCACCCAGCATTCAAGGTAGCGGCTTTGGAATAATAAGTCGAGCTCAGTGCTACCATGATGCGATCTGGCGTGTACACATGTTGCTGAAACGATTCGCCGAGCAACACGTGCGTTTGCGAGACGCCTTTTATGTGCATGATTACGTACCATTCCAACGTCATTCCAGATCATAGAAGATTCACCGTTTCAACAGTTTTGGAAAATAGTTCACACTATTGACAAGAACACCGGACATGAACAGACAGCAACATCAACAGAATTTCATGGCGTATGGCTATCAGCGTGATGGGGGCCAAGCTGGTGTTCGGGATGGGAGGGGGCAAATCCGTTATTTTGTTTGCCGGGCCATGAAAGCGAAAATGAGCGGCAGGACCACCAAAACTTATGGACACCCTCTCCGCATGAGTGACATCGCTGCCACCCTCTCCGAGTGAGTGACATCGCTGCAGCCAAGGTCCAGAAGAGTCCGCTGTCTCTTCCATTCAGCTTTATGTCGATCTTTATCTGCGAAGGCTGCTCACTAATGTACGAACGGACTTGATACGTATTTCAAACAAGTTTCTTGTTTTTTATGGGATGCGTTACCAAACGAATTACATCAAATGGCGTCAAACAAAACTAGCCGTGGGCATTTACGAATGCGCCAACCTGGTGTCAGTACACACACGTAGGCAGATGCCAGCAGATAATTGATCCAATCACGGAGGGTTTTGCCACCCCTCTTGAGTCAAACCCAGGTGCAAAGTGTCTGCACGAGACTGCCCAACGCCATTGCGTGTGCGATTTACCGATTTACCGTAGTGAAATGTGGCCTGCAGGCTCACATTGAACAGAAAAACAGGCTTCTGGACATAAACATCAATAGGTCAGCATCAGCAGGTCATCAATGGGACATCAATTCCATCAGCTGTGTAACTATAAAAGCTTGCATCTACAGTCTACTACATGTACTTACATGCACTTCGAAATGCATTTAATGAGGCGTGTTTCCTACCCCCGCATGCCACGCTGCCTGACCTTGTTTCCTACCCCCGCATGCCACGCCGCCTGACCTTCCACTGACATTCGTAACCTGAGCCCGAACACGCCCGTCCCGCCACGCACTGTGCAGTTCATTGTGATGGCCGTGATCCTGTCCCGCCGGAAGCGGCCTGCAGTTGCCCGCCGCATGCGCTGCTCATCAGGTGGGGCAGGGCCGGCCGGGGCAGGGGAGGGCCGTGGGTGACTCAGACCCTTGTGACGAGGGGAGCACGGCCGGCCTGCCGGGGCGGGGCGCGGCCCGGCAATCAATACTGCCCGCTGCTAAGCCGGTTTGGAAGCGCCATGGCGGCTGGGGCGTTGTCCGGAGCCTGGAATGGAACGCTGGATTATTGGGCCCCGTCAGAGTGCGTTCAAAGTTTAGGCCACCCTTTGAGGTGCCAAGTGGGAAAATATTCGACCATTGTGAAGAATGGAACTGTCGTCACCACTGGGACTTAGGCCCAGAGGCACACTCCCTGCCGGGGCCGCTGTTATGGGCCCGTACTGCCTGGGCCGCCGTCGATAGGCCCGCCAGTGACCGAATGACTACTTGGAGGACACGCTGCAGGGAGATGACTGTCTAGAGGCTCATTGCTGACCACATGGCTGCCAGTGTCACACTTTTCAACGGATAACCGTCAAGGGGACGCTGTTGTCGGGTGCGGCTGTCTAGAGACTGGCTGGTGGCTCACACTACTGCAAAAGACCGGACTGCATGAAGGTACGAGGTCGTTTGCGTCTACTGATGGCCCCCGCCTGGGGTATCAGCAGCAGCTGACGCCAACTAACTGCGCCTGGTCGCGCTGTGTCGCGCTGTGTCGCGGTTTTGGCCTGCATTCAGCGTTTTGGAAGCACTTTTCGCGCAAAACGATCACGCCATGTACTTTGCGTGAAACAGGCGATACAGTGAATGACCACGCTGCAGCAGTGCAAGCTATGACCTGGCATGCATCACATTAAATTTGCTGGCAGTGTTCGGCGCGTAACAGGGCTCACGATGTCGCAGTGAAGTAGCGGTTCATAGATGCAGAAAGAAGGCCCCGGCACCTATTGTGTTGTCTATGGAAGGTCCAGATCTCCATTTGCTGCCCAGAGTTAGTAAGGGTGAAAATACCGGACTGAAAGGCACAGAACCAGTCTTCTGTCCAGTGGCGGGTCAACCTCTCTTGCCGTTGTGGATGTGGATGCCAGCAACGGCCCGAAGTGTCAACAGCTTAGGGTGTCCTTACTAATGGATGTGAACTCGTCTCCTTAAACTTATTGTAGCCTTGTGACTTTGAATAGAGCTTGGGAATTTCTAGATGGGGAGTGACTGTGAATAGAACGTGGGAATTTCCAGCTTAGAAAATAGCGTCAAATACGGGCTCGCATTTGAGCTAAGGATGAGACTTGGACACGCGACGAACGCGTCCTCTTTCTGCCGAGCGTTCGCTCAAGGCCTGTTAGGAAGAGAGGGTCGCCCTCAGATTTGCGGTGTGATCTATTGGTGTTCCAGAAGCGTCAATTGTGCTAAAGTGACTGGGATTGGCGTTGTGGATGCGAGGAGCGACTCATAGGTTTGGCTAACAGGGTCGGAGCCCCTTTATTTTTCTGGTGAGGAGACGCCGCACAAGACTAGTTTGGACGCAAAATGTGTCACGAGCTGTAATTTCTCAACTTCATAGTGTCTTGGCGCAAGATTACCTGATGCCTTTCCACCAACCCCGTTCAAAAACACCACTGACAGCATATGGCGTAGCTGTTCGCCGACAGCCAGCCATAAACATTACAAATATGACGCTGATCAGAGTTGCTTCGAGTTGATATGAGGTGCTGAGTTGATTGTTTCTGTATCTAAGGCGGGAGGGATTTAAGTGCGAGAGCCACGAACGAAGAACACGCTTTACTTCAGCGCATGCCTTGAGTGTCTGAATTTGGGAGGATGCGCGTGTGTTATGCTGCACGAAATAAAAACACACATTCCGATGTAAGACCTGCAGGCTTTGCGCCAACATCCCGCTGTCTGACTGGGTTGACTGAGCAGCGTTAGCACCTCTCCAACTCCAGAAATATAACGGGTCTTCACCTAAATAAAGGGACTAATGTTTTGGAGCCTTATCGCGTGGCCTGGATTTGTGCTGCCACACAAACTTGTTTGCCGAATCGGACGTTGTATGCACTACTGGAATAACAACTCTAGGCAGAAGAGATAAGCATTGCAATTCGCACCAAACGCTGACCACACTGTTTGGTTTCTGACGCAGAGTTGACAAGCCTGGTGCTGGCGTATTCAAACATGTTCACTGTTCACGCCTTGGTTGCAAATGATCTTGCCGCGCCTGTTACGTTAATTGTGCTCTGTCGTTTCGCGGGATACGGCCAAGGGTTGTAGTAGAAATATTGAAAGCTTTTACCGTTTTTCTAAGTGGAAGAAGCGTTTTGCAACATACTGCTGGACGGTGAGCAACTGTCCTCTTGTCATCGAACCCAGCGGTCCCGCGAGGAAGGACTAGGCTGCACAGGTGGGCCATTTAAGCGAACCAGGCCACGGGCGAGCCAGGTGCGTTGAGTCAGAATGGGGCCACTCTAGCTTATATTCGTAAAATTTAAAATCACGCTGATGATTCCCTGTGGAAGAAATAGGGGATCTTTATATATAATGACTATACCTGCATAATGGTAGCCAAACGTAGACCTACAGCGTGCACCAAACAGTCAGAAGGGCGCGAATAATTTTTGATACAGCATGAAAAGGTTAGCCATACCTCGGTTTTACCGATTTTTATCATGAGTTTGCCTGTCCAAAAACTGTTAAGGTCACAACAGAGTCGTGAGAATAAAAACTTTGCCAAGCTTAAGATGAAAACCAATAAGTGTATCAAGCTGAGCGTAATTAGATGTCGCCGTCACGCTCTTTCGGCTGCGGCTAATTTTACGTCTTATTTAAAGTTTCAACGCAGATCAAAATACTCCGCGCTCTGTCTGCTATCTTTTTCCCAAATGAGGTGTCGACGGAAAATGAGGAGCAAACGTGACGTAATTTGCATTTGTCCCTGTTTCAGATGAACATGGCTGTGTTGAAATCCGTGGCAATAGCTACAGTGACTCTACTGTTGGCGGCTCAGCAGTGTGAGTATCCTGTGATTGGGCGAATTCCGGATAAGTGTCACACTCCGTCCTGCTATTTGACATGTGAGATTTATAAAGTGAGGTTGATGATTGTTCGAATCTGAGCATGCTCCAGCTATTTCATCACATAGCATGTTCGAATCTGAGCATGCTCCAGCTATTTCATCACAAAGCAGCAAGACGAGGTGAGATTTTCATCGTGGGCAATAAATATACGACACCGACGGTCTTCGGGCCCCAAGGCTCGCATTGCTCTTTATTGTTACATATACCTGCATCATGCTGGTACTTTATTTCCGCCAAAATCGCAGCCAGACATGTTCGCTGAACCTTCTGATCTCCACCGGAAACACTGGGCCACGGGCACTCGGCTCCCTATTGCCGACAGATCTCACTGGGTCACGGTCAATGGTTTCCTGTTCCCGTTGACCGCACTGGGTCGTGGCCCTCTCTGGTCACCACTGGCCTCGCTGGGTCACGGCTCTGAGCGGTCTGATTCCGACTGATCATACTAGGTCGTGGCTGCTGGACCCTGTTGGTGCCCATCGCTTTCTGTTGGTTGCGCAGACTGGACAATCTAGCCTCAGCAGAACTCTCAAGAGTCTCACAGTGTGTGTCTACAGTGTGCTGGTTCCATGAACTCGACTAGAGCTCGGCCGCTCACACCGCGTTGGTGGTGTACGACAGGGCTCGGGTAGTCCGGATCTGGGCTTGACAGATGAAAGCCAGCTGTATAGACAGAGGATCTTGACAGGTGCCATGCGGGCCACGACCTTGTTTGTCATCGCAATTGCAGGCAGTCCCGTTCCCAGGAGGTGTTGCCTAATCTGTGCGGTTATCTCCGTCACCTAATTTAGTTTACCCTCGTGAATGCTGGTGTCATTGGCTGTCTGAATGACGGAGCAACACACCCGGACTGACGCCTCTGGTGCGTGTGTTAAATCCCACCATGTGACTGGCCCGTGACCAGCACGACGGGCCACCGCGCGTCACTCGTGCTGACGCGGGCCCTCCGGCACCACTGCAGGCGTCGCCTACAAGTGTTACGTCTGCAGCTGGTCGCCGACGTCACACAACCGCACCGACATCTGCACCCGGGCCAACTTCAACAAGGACGCCGTGAAGACGTTCGGTGGCTGCCCTCACGGCTGCGAGGTCGTCTCGGCGTACGACACGAACGGTGAGGCACCCCCTGGCGGCCATATAGCAGTGCGGGCATATGAAAGATAGCAGTGCGGGCATATGAAAGGAGACGTGTGCGGGGATGGGCGTACGACACGAACGGTGGGGCACCCGTGGTGGCCGGGATAGCCGTGCGGGCACATGAAAGGGGACATGTGCCGAGATCCCAGAGGTGGATCCAGGTTCCCATAGGGTAGCACATCAATGGGATCCTGGGATTTTTCGAGCTCCAGACACATGTCTGCTTGAGATTGGTGTCCGGCAGGGAGAGAAATGGGCAGGCTAAAACATGGTGCCTTGTTCCCTGACTGCCACGTGTGGAATTACATTGGGGGATATTTGTAATGAGTTCGGAATCACTCACTTTGGATCCTTGGTGGATAGTCGGCAGTCATGGCGTGTATCCGAGCCCGGCCAATTATCTTAAAATGATTCCATGATTAAAAAATGAACGCGTGCACCATTTTTACCAGATTATTAGTTTTTTTGCATGCGCTGATACCTGGCGCTGCAATCGCTTTGTAAAGACGAGGTCTTAACACACAAATATAAGGCGCGATGGGTATAAGGCATATTGATATCCAATGTAAGCGATAACATCAATAATTAGGCCGGCATTGCCAATAGGTCGGTCCGACAAAAGTTTGCAAAAGTAATCTCATTTTCGTCGATCTGATGGGTTTCAAATGCGTCTTTGTTTCCTTCTAGCCGTCAAGTTACGTGCTTAAATCAAAAGTTTGACTCCTTGAAACAAGTTACCATGGACAGCGCACTTGATGCGCCCTTTCCCTTAATGAATGTTCTTCTTTTCAAGTGGACAGTAAATACGGCTTAATGTATAAAGTTGGTAATTGTTGTTGGTTGGTAAAGTTGGACCTTGGTAAATGGCGGCAGCTGGTCTTGTGCAGTTAAATGTAAAGCTAATGCGGTGAAAGGAAGCTATTTGCTAGGTGGAGGTCTGTCCAAATTCCCAATTACGTCGTCTAAATACCACGAATTGCTAGATTTTGTCTGTCAGAGAGATTGTTTGAAGGTTAAATTGAATGATCCAATTCTGCAGCAAGCTTTCGCAGGGGTTGGCCGCCTCATGGGATAGTCACCCTCATTTGAGATGTTAGATGCGTTTTCAGCGGCATTAAGCGGGTCAGCCAATCTTGAATTATGGTAATCTACCCCCACCACATTAGACAGAGCATATTCTGCCATCTGCTCCGGGCTAGAAACGTTCGCGAAACGTTTGGGTGACTTCAAAGTGACAGACTTATTATTCTGCTGTAGAAGGCCAAACCATTGAGGCGATGTCGACTTCGACGCTGAACACAACGTGGTCTGTGCGATGGGAGATGCAGGCCGCAGTTAATCCTGACAAGGGAAAATGGAAGACGTACAGTCGGTAGCGAAACATATGGGAGCAGTATATGACGAAGCTCCGTTTGCCAGGAAAGTCATTCTTTTCCGCTGTAGAACAAGTATCGGGGTGCATTATCAGCCAGACGCCTTCGCGACAAGACACGTATGTGATGCACCTTACGTCTGCGAGCAGTGGCGGCGTACGGGGAAGTGCTTATGTCCTGTAAATGTTCTCAGTCTATCAATGCGGGATCATAGTTTGTTGTGACCCATTTCAAGCGGGGTGCGCCGGTAGCAGAGTCCAGATTGAGCGGAGCTTCTTCTTCTCGTGTTCGCACACCTCCAGTGCTTTCCTCTCGACCCGAAGTGCTACGGGAGTCATAACATGCTGCTAAGATCACAACATGAACGCTTGCGCGAGCAGTCTGCCTGCCTGCCGGTTGTAACTCTAGCGCGCACGGTGGTGCTTCTTGACGGTGGGGGGGGGGGGAGGGGGCGCAATTGCATGGCACCGTGACACAGTTGACACATGCTCTCTCTTCCTCTCTCTCTCTCCTCTCTCTCCTCTTCTCTCTCTCTCTCTATCTCTCGCTCTCTCTCTCTATCTCTTCCTCCCTACTCCTCTAATACTCTTCTCTCTCTAATCTAGTCACGTTATCTCTCTCTCTTCTCTCCTCTCTCTCTCTCTACTCTCTCTCTTATCTCTATCTCTCTCGACTTACTCTCTCCTCTCTCGCTCTACTCTCTCTGCTCTCCTCATCTCTTCTCTCTCTCTCTCTCTCTCTCTACTATCTCTTTCCTATCTATCCTATCTCTCCTCTCTCTCTTCTCCTCTCTATCTATCTCTCTCTGTCTCTCTATCTCTCTCTCCTCTCTACTCTCTCTCTCTCTAATTACATATCTATCTCCTCTCTCATCCTCTCCCTCTCTCTCTCTCTCTCTTCCTCTCTCTCTCTCCTCTCTCTATCTCTTCTCTCTCTCTCTCTCTCGCTATCTTCTATCTCTCTCTCTCTCTCTATACTCTCTTCTCTCTCTCTTCTCTTCTCTCTCTTCTCTCTCTCTCTCTCTCTCTATCTCTCTCTCTCTCTCTCTCTCTCTCTCTCTCCATTTCTGTCTCTGCCACTGTCTCTGTCTTGCCAATGTCTCTGTCTCTGCCTTGTCTCTTCTCTGTCTCCTCCCTCGCCCCGCCCTGACCATCTCTCTCCGATCCCTTACTCTCTCTCTCTATCTTCTCTATATCTCTCTCTCTCTCTCTTATCTCTCTCTATCTCTCTCTCTCTCTCTCTCTCGCTCTCTATCTCTCTCTCTCTCTCTCTCGTGGACGTGTTCGATCACTTGAGAAGGAGGGCCGAGTCGCGTTTCGGTTTGGGTGCTGGTTTAAGCCATTTCGTCAGTTGGAAATGCAATTGGCATTGGTTGCGATATGAATTGCCTGCGAACATCCCTGGGGCCGCTGCGAGGCTTCTGCATGTCGCATTGAGGCAAGGGTTTTTATTCCTGGGCCAGTCAGCGTATGACCAGCTGAATAGCTGAGAACATAAGGCATTGTAAAACAGGCTCAGAACTTCTTGACCATTGCTGACATGGTTATCACAGCTGAAATATCCCGTCGCAGGTGAGCTGGAGAACTTCTACCGCAACTGTGTTGTCAAAGGGAAGAAGGTCACCAACGACTGTCGAGAGGAGACCAACGCGGCGGTCCGCAAAACCGTCTGCCGGTGCGACTCTGACCTCTGCAACGACGCGGGGACGTCGACTCCGACGCTCCTCGGAGTCCTGGCGGCGGCAATTTTAACTGTCAGTCTGGCCTTGCGAGGGTAGACGGCGCTACCGTCGCCGTTCGTAAGACGCCTGTAGGGTTGGCGCGGCGTGCTGATGACCCAGCGAGGAGTGAGGAGCACTCGGCTGCCATGCCTGCTGAATGTTCGCTGGTCCGGTCGGTAGAAGATGCGTCGGACGGAGTGCTTGCAATGCCTGCAGCCTTGGCGGTGCTAGGCTCGAGAGCTGGAGCCTGGAGTGTAGTGCGGGGCGGTCCGCTAACGGCCAACGCCCATCACGCCCTGCGGGGGCGGAGCAGGCAGAGCGCGGCAGCGGCAGCGGCGGCGCCGTGGACGGCGCTTGGCGACCCAGCACGCCGCAGCTTCCTATTGGCGCAGTAGCTTTCGCAAGTTGTCGTCGCTGGCATGGCCCATGTCAAGCTTCTGATGGTCAGTCAAATTCTTTCGGCAAGGCGCAGTATTGTCGTGCCCGCGGTGCCATAAGCGCCGCTTAGCTTAAGTCAGCTGCACACTACATCCGCTGTTGACAACCAAGATGTCCGACAGAATTCCGCCGAGCGAAACGCACAGGCACGTCAGCATACGCCACGTACGAGTACGCTGGCAAACTAGCTACTCACGATCGAGTGACTCGGTTCTCCACGCATATCGTCCCACTTGTCTCAGATTCGGTGGGGCAAAATGCCCGATGCTTTGAACTGGCGTGCTTTTGCCTTGTTCATAAATGCCTCTGAGTTGTTTTGATCGTGGCTTGATTATCGTTCAGCCGCGGGAAGCGTGTGTATGTGATGAATTATCATGAAGCAAGTGGTATCGGAAAGAGTGTACTAGATAGTTTCAAATTTTGAAATAATTTTATGCCCTTTGCCGTCGTTTAAAAAAGATTTAATCATTTCGATGACCTGGCCGACTTGCCTAATCTTACGTGGCCGATACAGGAGATGTTCTGCGAAGGGGTCTACAAGTTGATAATTTGGAATCTGATGGAGTTATACTTCGAGCAGTCTCTACATTGATTTACGCAATTTGCTGGCACGCGATTGGCACTTTGCGATACTCTGTAATGCATTTCAAGGCATTCAATGATCTGATGGTATTACGTGAAGTACAAATGTAGCCTGTCCTGATTTCTGTAGCGTTAGATAATTTACTGGGACAGTAACATGTTATGTGGTAGCACGTTCCGCCCACCCGAGGCCGTTATGGCGCAAAAAGTGTTTCTCTTGATAATGCTCATTGTTTCCCAAAATCTGTCCTATTGATTGCGTTAAGTGAAGCCCAGTTTTGATTTCTAACCTGCCGCGTTTAGGTTTGAACAGCTGCCTGTCTAATTGTGAGATAATCGGTAATGCTTAAACTTCCAAAGGTTGAAAAGCTTCCTCCCCAGATTCGTCGTCAAAGTTATGAGGCCAATGGTGCTCGGCCAATTTAACGTCTTCTTGGCTAACGGCTGCATCTGTGACATTGAAGTCAGTTTGATTTGTTTCCCTTTAGTTCTTCTCGATGTGCCGCAGTCATGCGAGGTCATGGGCCCAAACACAATATGGGGGCGTCTATCTGAGCCACTCGTCTGTAATGACAGCGCTTTGTCAATGCTACGTGGATTGCAGTGCCCTAACGTCACTGACTTGACGTTGGTCAGCCACCAACGCTGCATTCCTGCGGCATACACAACTAACTGTGCCACTGGGGGCGCGGCATCCACGTGCCTTCAGCTTCAGGCTCCGGTCCGCGCGCTGTATTAAGCTCAAGCTCCGTCGCCTTTTTCTCCGCGCCGTGAAGCCATGTTGCCGCCAGGGTTCGGCACCCTCCCTTACCGGTCACCCCAGAGAGGTCCCAGTGCCGGAGCCAACGGTCGTGGGTCGGCCAATCGTGCCGCGCAGGCCAGCTTGAACCAGCTCGTAGTTGGTGTGCGTGTGTGGCTATCTGACGGTGTGGCGTGGTAGCAGCCGACGCGTACGCTGTACAGGCGTGTGGACAACACGAGAACTGTAGTCCACGAGGTGCATGACGCGTGTTAGCTGCGCTCGTCGCGATTTTTCTTGTCTCGGCCGTAGCGTTCCGTGTTTCCAGCGCGCCCCGACTCAGCCGTGTGGACCGGAGAGCAGTCACGACACGGGATGTCAGGGCGGAGGTGTCGATCTAAGCTTGTCGTCTTGCTCTTCGTTTCTTCTCGATGTGCTCCAGTCATGTGCACCAGGCCGGTAGTTCAGAGTCTCGTGAGCTGCGGAGGGTCAATACAACTATGTACCAAAGCCGCTTGGTGTGCAGCGCAGTCGTCAGGAGCGCAGATGAGAGGCGGCACTGCACCTCCAGTGAATTACGCCGCTTGTTTACTGCCATGCAGTGCACATGCGCCGGTCAACTCATTACGATGTGGTCAGGCTGACGTGACCACGGCGATCCCGCCGTTCATAGGGCCAGGTACACAACGGTCCACAGGGACTTTCGTCACGCGGGCATGGACGACCTGGGCTACTCCTACCCTGGCGTCAGACAGTCTGTCTATTCAGCCGAGTGCTACTGCTGGCCACCACGTTGCCGTTTCCCCGGAATAGACGCTCCAAGCCAGACCGCCGCTGCACGGACTCCCAACCGAGAACAGGAGACGTGTTCCAACGCGAGGCGTTGGACTGTCACCGGCTGCCATCCGGATGCCTTTCGTTTGGCCTGGTTTTCGCATCGCCTTTACGTCGGAATTAAGCTTTCGCGAACGAAATCAAATCAGCCTGATCAGCAGTACAATCGCAGTGCGTTTATTGACGATTAATAGCGCTGGTAAGCCAGCCAACACCCGAGCCGTCACACCACTCGTGCAGGAGGAAGCGCCACAGGCGTACGGCTTCAGTGGTGCCCTCTGCGCCGCGGCTGTGTCCATCCACACATACCAGACGCCAGCCCGCACGACGAGTGTAAGTCACAACGCCCCGTTCGAGCCAGTGACGTCAACACGCCACGGATTGTGCTGCGCACGGCCCTGCCGCGAGACGTGACACGTGACACGTGACGAGTGACGCGGTCAACGGACCGCCGCGCCGGACGGGCACGCAACGCTTCACACGAGAGTACATCAACAACAGAACCGTCGTCCACAGTCCCCCAGCAACAGGTAACACGTCGGTAAGAGAAGCGTTGCGATTTAAAACTCACGAGCGCCGCATAAAACGTACGGCACTAACACGCACGGTGCGATGAATTCAGATAGGACGCGTGCGGTCCGCGAGGTCGCATCACGCAGGCCGCGCCTCCGGGAACCGCCCCGAGACGAGGCGACGATTAGGTCCCCGGCAGGAAAGTCCGCTGTACATCACACAAGTACGCCACTAGTGCGTAAGCCATCGCAACACCCGTATGTCGCTTCTGACAACGGGCTCGGCCGACCACAGGTCACTGGCGATTTGTCTACCCGCAAAAGCTCGCCATAGATTGTTCGTCGCCACGAAGCTCTGCGCCGCCCGCAGGCCTGACGCGCTGACCGCGTGGACAGCAGTCGCGACGCATTCGTTGAAGGACCACGATGGGGATATGTTGGGAAGCGACAGAAGCACCTCCGGGCCGATAACACTAGACGCTTCCGGGACGACAGCAGATCAACAGCCGCTGACGCCGAGGTCACACAGGACAGCTCCGTCCACGTGCGTAGCACCAGGCATGAGGTGGCCCCGCACAGCGGCGCGAGGGTGGCCGCCAGAGCCGGCTCCTCAGACGGCGGCGCCGCCAGCCAGCGCCGCCGGTGAGCGCGGCGTTACAGACGGCACCGCCGGACGGCCGGCGCTCCGTTCGGTGCCCACGGCGTGCCGCGGCGCGACGCGTGCAGCGCCGGCAGGACACCGGAGCCGCTGGCCGGCGCCGGACGGTGCGACGCCCCGCGCGGCGGCCGGTAAGAGCGGCCCCATTGCCGCCGCAGAGCGCTCCGGCCCGGGCGGCCCGTTCACTCCACGATCAGCCGCACGTCCGAGCGCGCCTCCGGCATGTCTGCCGAGAGTACGGCTGTTAGCGCGACAGGCGCCAGCGGGCGGCACGACACGGCACAGACCCGGCCCGACACACCGCCGGCGAGACGGCTGCCGAAGACATCAATGTTGCCTGCAATGTCGGTCCCATCAGCTCCCCGTTTTGGGGCGGGCGGGAGGGGGAGGTCGACAAGAAAATATTCACAATTTCGATCAGAGGCTGATCTATAGTCTATTCAGCTCAACGCTCTGCTCCAGCACACATGAAGCTACAGTGGACATAGGAAGTGGTCAGCCCCTTCATCCCAGTTGACTGCATCCATGAGACGTGGCCGCGGAGGGCGCGGGCCCGACAAACCTGACGAGCTGTTGGAGAATGCCAGTCCCGGATCGCCGTCCAACCGACGCTTGGGGCCCATCAGCCCGTCCGAATCCGGGCCCAGCGACTGCCGCGTTCGGCCGGCACCGTCCCCCAGGCTGCAGGCCACACGAACACGGGACATCACAGCGAGGCATGGCCGAGGACGGCGACCACGCACTCTCAATATCGGCAGTCTCGCCACCGAGCCGTCAACCACGTGTCACTTCCGCAGCACCCCGCGACTTAAGGCAGATCACCTGTTTGGAATGAAGCAAACGCCTCGTATTGTAAATGCGTCACCAAGGAAGGTTCACTAGTTGTGGATGGAGTCAGGCAAGACAAAGAGCAACACGCTCCTCACCGTAAGTTACGAGCAAACCCGCCACCGTCGCCGACCCCGCCGCTTCGCCCAGCGGCGACCCCGCCCCGGCCGGCTGACCTGGTGGAGGGCGTGGCAGTCGGGTCGTAGGTGGAGCCGTAGCTGACGGAGCTGGGCGGCTGGTGTCGCATCGGGAACACCACGCCGTCTCCCAGCCTGCGACACACGCACACGCCCGCGTGCCGTGTCACCATTTGTTTCGCGCTGGCGACCCGCGTCTGCCGCTCGGCGCTGCATGACGGCTTGCCACTCGGATGGCAGGACCGTCTCCAGCCAGCCGCGGGTCGCGCGCGCGGGGTGGGGCACGAGAGACGATGGCACACGCGATGGGGTGCAGTCTAATGAGACCCAAAGTCCGCCCCGATGGCTCAGCTGGTAAGAGCGCCTGCCTCCCGATTCACACACGCGTGGCGGTGTGAGTTCGAGTCGCTTTCTGCCCCTGGCAGCTATGGCCCGCGGCCGGTGGCAGCGGTCGCGATAAGATCAGGTGATGTCAAAGGGCACGACGGACCGTGCCAAACATTGCGGCACTTTAAGCTTTCGCCGCCAAATTCCGCCGTTATCCCAGAATTGCGCGATCAGACGGAAGGGGTCAGGGCACACACAAGCACTCCTTAGCGTGAGCTCTGATCCATGAAATCCATCCATTCAAAAGGTTCCGATTAAAATCTTTTAAAGATGTGACGCTGCACAAATGCAAAGATCACCATGGCGAACAGGCCTCGTACCAATACCACGTGCGGTGGGGTTTAGCTGTTTTTATAGGCTTTTTGATGCAATATCACACGAAGGTATGGCGCAAAACAACAATTAAATCACCAGCAATTCAATCAAAGTAAACAGGCGCGTCGAAATGTGATCCATGAACCTGATGACGTGGCCAATGTTTATCCCCCACATGTTTTAGCGGGGTAATTGTTGACTTTTTCCCGGGTCGCTTTCACTGGTGCCCGTATTTCACACGAGCTCTGTGCTCACCGGCCCGACCGTGTAACACCGACGAGGATACTACCACAGCGCCGCAGGTGGGGAACAAGTCACCACAGTGTCGCAGAGGACAAACACTTCCCTGTCATTTCAGGACCATATAGACTACCAATCTGTCAACGACATGGCGGCCAGGAGCACAGCGCGAAAAGTTCACCCTACCAGTGACAGACGCTATCACTCACGAGGTAGCCAGCGGCAGGAACCACTTGAGTTTGGTGTCGCCGAACACGTCACAGAAGTTGTTGTAGCGGCCCATGCTGAAGCCTCGCTTGTCTGGGCCCGACTGGAACACGGGCGGCCGAAACGTCTCTGTGGCAGAAGGTCCGGGGTCATATCCGGGGCACGAGAGGTCCGGGGCACGAGAGGCCCGGGACACGAGAGGTCCGGGGCGCGAGAGGTCCGGGGTCAGACGGGTCCGGGGTCAGATCGGTACAGGGTCAGACGATCCGGGGTCAGACCGGTACAGGGTCAGACGGTCCGGGGTCAGACGGATACGGGGTCACACGGATCCGGGGTCAGGCGGGTCCAGGGTCTGAGGTGTCCGCAGTACGGAACATCCAGAATCTGAGAGTTCCGGAGTTTGAGACGTCCGTGGGTTAGATGTCTATAGTATGAGTTTCGTGGTCAGGCAGATCCGGGCTCGCATAGGTTCGGGGTCAGCCAGATCCAAGTCACAACATTCCGGGCACAGGCTGGTCAGGGTCTGAGAGGTTCAGGGTAAGACAAATCGGCCAGGCCCGGGCAGAGCGGCAAGCAGCACCAGCAGCCGGTCGGGCCGTCCGGCATGACGAAGAGGTAACGACGGCGCATTTAATCCACTCCGTCTTCCTGTTTTCATGGTTCTCCAATGCCCTTAAGACACAGTTTGCTGCTGAAAACTGCGGGCCACCACCCTACCGTCGCTTTTCTTCATTTCAGACCTATTGGACGCAGTCAAGAGGGAATATCGAGTTGAAACGCACCAATGAATCTACCAAATGCGTGCCGCGACTGGACACATACCTAGCGTCGACTGATTCCTCAGGACCAGGTAGCAGTGATAGCTGAAGAGCGATATCAGACTGATACCGAACATCGCGGCCACGAAGAAGAGGAAGAGGATGTGGAACCGGGCCATCCCTTCCAAGCCGTCCTGGGAACAAGCGTGAAGTCAAACGCAGCCAAGTACAGACTGGCAATCATCGACCAACCTAACATCGGCAGTCGCGTGATGCAAGAATCTCCAGCAATGCGTGCAACTCCGGACATTACTATAGCATCACAAACTAACTTCACTTTCCACGAAAATAAACTTCGCTTCAAGTCCAGCTTCAAGTCGCGGCCAAGTTCAACAGTCCAGCCTAAGTATTTTGCTAGAATTTCATTGCAGCACTTACCCTCCAGAACCCGATGAAGTACTTCAATGATGTCAAGGCGATATATATACAGTACGCAAAAGCGTACCCCAGAAACAGTACAAAGAACTTGTAATTGGAAAATCCTATGCAGTTGTTCACCTGCAGCAAAGGTACAGTTCAGTGTCATACATTATCGTTCAATCTGCAATTGACATTGACAGACAAGATAATAAATGCACGGCACTTTAGAACAGTGTGTGTGTATCATTCAGCCTTCACGACACCCTCAGCTACAGAGGCTATATGGCGTCGTCTGCCCCTCACCCTGGCATGAATGGCCGGCAGCGCGGGGAATCGAACCCCGTACTTTCGTTTCCCCGACGCGCAATAGTTAACCCAGGAGCGTTGACCACAGCACTATCGGCATCCGCACTAAAAAGCAGTGCTTCGAGGCGTACATGACATGAATATGTACCGGCGTGGTAACAGTCGATGCAAACGGTTACAACCATCGCGTGAGCACCAGCAGCCTCACGGAAATCTGACTGACACAGATGCGATACACTGGCCGACAGGAGTACTGCAATACCGCGCCGGGAAGACAAGCTAGAAATCATGATGTCAGATGTCATGCCAGAAGTCATCAATCGTCGTCAACGCGTGCAACGCCGCAGCACGTTCTCGCGAAATATCGTTCCTGCACGCGCACAACTGGTGCCTGGCTGCGCGCCGCCGTGCCCAGTGACCTGCACGTAGCGGGTAGCGACGTGCACCTGCACGTAACGCGCCGCTCACCCAGGGACAGTGGTGGTCCATCTTCAGCACGCACTCGCCGCACACGGAGCAGTGGTGGCTCCGGTCCGGTTTGACGAGGCGGCACTTGTCGCAGTAGCGCATGGCTGCCGGAGACAGACGCCACGAGGTCACCAGCGGCGCGCGGCGTGACGTCACAGTCAGCCCAGCGGACGCTCATGTACGAGGCCCGTTCAGCGCCGCTAGACGCTGGGCAGCCTCACCACAGTCAGAGAGTATGCGTCGTGGAGCGAGGCGTCGGCCCAAATAGGCGGCAAGTGACAGAAACAAAGACATATTCAGTGCATTGATGCGCGTATTTTCATGGATCTGTCCAGAAAAACAGTGACATGACAAGACACATTACGCAATGACAATACAGATCACGACATGTCACGACAGGTCACGTGTCACAGGACACGGCCGACGCTCTGTCGTCACTGACCGCCCGCCAGGGTGCGGTTGTGGACGGGCAGCTGGTGTTCGGCCACGTGCCGGTCGAGCAGCTGCAGCTGCAGCCGGCTCTCCTCGGTCGCCTCGAACCGCGCCTGGTCCGGCTGGCTCAGACGGAACTGCGGCCGGCAGCACACGCGATCAGCTGGCGGGTCGTCGGCGAGCGCACGCCCGCATACGGCCAGAACACAGCTGACCACCAGCAGAATTGGGAAGTATAGCAGCATGTGCTATAGCATAATGGGGAAGGGGTCTGACACTTTTCCGTAATCTGCGATTTGTTCCACTGCATCAATAAACAGAGACTTTTGATACAACATGCTCACGAAGGTAACACGAGAGAGACATAAGAGGTCATGTCAAGATCGAGAGGCGCTAAAGTCAGACACACACACAGACACATGCCTCAATCAACCACCTGATGCAGAACACTGAATGTAAATAGAATTAATTATCTACCCACTGACAGAGCAAAAATGATTGTAAGCGCGACCATTTTGCAGGTCCCGTGATCTCACAGTCACCGGACCGCCACAAGCCGTAACTGCGCTGTAATTGGGGCATCTCAGGCTGACGTGTTCGCCATGACCTGTCCGTAATGAGTTCGAGTCTTGCAGCGTCTGTCGGTCAGGTTTAGTATGACGGTTGAAAAGCTGATGGCTGTAGTGGAGACGTGCGATCACGGGCCCGGCATAATTATTTTGCTGTAATCGCGTATCATCAGAACGTGACGAGAATGTAATACACCGTTATCTTAAGGCCACTGAGCTTGTGCGGTAGATATTCTGGTAGATGCCGTCCTTATAAGACCGGTATCTATCACAAAACATTCCCTTAAGGCGAGGTGTGCAATGTAGTCAAGGCTTATCAGAGCGTTGGGACAAGTGCAGACCGTTTCACGACGTGACTGCGCCAATTTCATCAGAAGATCCTGCAGCGAAGCTTTACCGCAAGCCGTAAACCTCATCAGACGGTTCAACGCATCATTCCCACAATCACGCCGCCCCTGACCGGCGGAGGGTCACTGCCTCGGCCGTGGCGCGCTGTCAGCGGGGCGGGCGGCCGGCGGCCGGCCGGCCGCGGCCACCACCGGACGCACGTGCCGGGGCACACCTGTGGCTCGCAGCCGGCCGGTCCGGCGCCGCCACGGCCACGGCCGGCTCGCGGGCCTGAACACGCCCCTTGACCGACCAAGCTGGCCGGCGCCACCGGTGGCCAGCTGTGTGATTCGCGTGCTGTATAATCAATGACGCATGTCTCCGTCGGACAATCGAGCGCGGTTGGCTGCAAGGCGCTGACATTTGAAGATGTCATGATGTGAAGATGTCATTCTTAAAGATGATCTTAATGAAGAACATCGCAGTTTGTTGCACACGGTCGGCCCCTGGTTCCAGTTTCCAAAACAAACTGGTGCTCAGATGTTCCTTCGACAAGCGCCGGCGAAAATTGAACGCTCACACCAACCTGTTTTGGGACTCGGCTGATGGGCGTCATCACTGTCTGATAGTAGGACCATATGAACAGGACCAGGATTACATGGTAGAAGATCAGGTATATTGTCTTCTCAACATAACTTTCCACCGTATCTGTCGGACAGACAGGCATAGTGTTAACTTGAATCAGTTCTGTGACAGTAAACATGTCGACGCCAGTATGTGAGCTGTCAAAAGAGTAAGCATGTGAATCAATTAATACATTTCAAAAAGAAGTGACATCAATGGCCATGACACATCAAACAACACAAATGGCAACAGGGCAGCATTTCAGCTACACCAGATCGATCACACCATCCCATAAATCAAGGAAGACATCTCTGGATATGAATCACCACACAGTCAAAAATGCCCAGCCTTGTATAAAAATCTAGCCACAGCATACATAATTGCCATACTCACAAATGCACAGTTCAAGGACATATGCATAATATGACCATCCAACGACGCTCAAGATGAAAATGACAGGAATCCACTTGGTGATACAGATGCAGATGCTGCATGGTTTTCTACCCATGTCTACAACATTCGTCATGACGGAGTTTGTCATGACATTTCCTGAAAAAGATGTCACAGTTACAGCGGAGCATGTGTTTCTAATAAGCAGTGTATGTTATTCAACAGCCCATTCCATGACAAAACCTTGCAGTATTTCAAGTTTCAGGCACTGTGAGTACGGAGATGTGGAAACTGACGTGGAATGCTGCGGATATTTTGCACTCGTCATATTCCAACGTGTTGGTTTCCATCCCAGAACATGCTTACATTAACATGTTGACATGCTTACATTAACATGTTGACATGTTGACCTTCACCCAAATGTTGACCTTCACCTAACTGTTGATCTTCTGTGTTTGACACATTCTGCTGTTATCAAGTCAAGGCTTTATTGGATTCTTTGTGCGACCTCATCATATTTTACTGTGTTGTTATTTGTAGCACGGTATTCTATAGCATCATATCTCATGGCCTATTTCAAATTTGTGTAATGTTGTGCAATAAGTGAGTGAGCATTGTATCAAACTCTGTACCTTTGGTTTCCAAAACAAGCAGCTTAACTAACCCCTGCACTACCCAGACCCCACCCTCAACTTGAATTGCAGACCATCACTGAAAAAGTCCCCAACATATTGAATCTGGTCTTTAATATTTTCTGATCTGAAAGACTTATGCTCTTGACATCATTAGGTCAGAATTCTTACAGACATTTTTCAAGCTTCAATATATCTCAGATGTGACAAACACACAAAGTTATTGAGCAAACAATGGTTATAATGCCAACACCCAGCACTTCAAGCTTGTGACAATGCCTGAATGACACACAATACTCACTTGACATTTCAAATTTGTGATCAGAAGCACACTTGAGGTGTCAGGCATCAACAATATAACCAGTGTTTGCTTAATAACATCATTGAGCCAGTACCTCCTGGTTTCCTGAAAATGCTTCCTGTCAGCATTATAGCATGAAGCTTATAATTGGGCTTTGGATCAAAAAACCTGTCATTGGTATCTTACTGAAAATTGCAAGCAACTTTGATTGATCATGATTTACAAGGGATGAGATGAATTTAAAGACGCAAGCAGTTGATCATGCTGGTAAATATTGATAAATACGTGGTTTACAAGGGATGATATGAATCCAAAGATGCAAGCAGTTGCACATGCTGGTAAATACTGTCAAGTCTCATCCACAACTATCTTGGAGGCAAGCAGTTGATCATGCTGGTAAATATTGATAAATATGTGGTTTACAAGGGATGATATGAATCCAAAGATGCAAGCAGTTGCACATGCTGGTAAATAATGTCAAGTCTCATCCACAACTATCTTGGAGGCCTTGAAGCTGTCAGTTCAACTTGGCTGCCCAAAACCATTCCAAACATCCCCATGAACTCAATTGCAGCAACTAGCCTAAGTAATGGCATTATTTATGTAATCTCGCTACTTTGGAGTGCCGACACATTTTGTTTGAATACTTGGTGTCTCTTGACTGCTCCAGAAACATCCTATTCCTTTTTCTATTCTGGTGGTGATTCTATAAATGATCATATCATTTATGCATTGAACAGAACCTAATGAATTTCTGAAACTTATCTATAGTCCACAACAAACCACTTTTAAATGACCTATACATAGTCTACCAGTGCATCAGCCCTATCTAACATGATGCTCCAGTGCTCTTAGCTCTTGTTCATTGCTAGTTTGCTACAAATATTTGACCTGCAAGTGCACGACATTTCTCCCACTATACAATTACTTGGAAATTGTCCTCACTGACCAGGATGCAAAGCAGAGCTTTGGATGGGCACATCCTAGTAGGCCTTGGACATCTCATTGCAAAAGTGGGAAGCCCAAACTATGAGTCTGGGCTCTCATGCATGCTCTATGTGTAAATTGGTCACTGCATTTATATAAATAATATGTGTGACATTCTCATTCCAATGAAGCTTTATCTTTAATTGTAGATCAGTCTCCCCATGTTACTCATAAAAATCAGGTGCTCATTGCCCTCAAAGCCACTCTCAAAAATCAAAATAAAGGCAAAATAAAAAGGGAACAGGGCTGTATCAACCTTAATTGAGGGATCAAACCATGTATTTTAAGCAACAAAACATGGCCTATCTCTCACCCAACCAAGGTCAGGTAGCCTGAACCCTCAGTCACCCTTCAAGGTCACAATGTAAGTCAGTATGATAAGTGACAGTATGAACTATACTGATACATTTAACAAAGCATTCAAAACATTAAAATATAGATCATCATGAGCATCAATTTCTGTCTAGATAATCTAAAATCTTAGTGAAAGCTTTCAAAGTAAAAATAAAGGTTGCATGGTAAATACCTGAGCACAAACCCAGCATTTTGGCCTTTGGCACCAAGCAATTGCTTGTTAACTGGACTTACTTCTGCCAATGTACCCAAAATTACAAACTCCTCATCAAAACACTTGAAGGCCAAATTACAGAAGGGGAACACTTCAGCAACTGAAGGTGACAAAACTGACAGCTCAAATTTTGGCACTTCAAGTGCCTAGATGGGTGCCATGGTTGCAATGCAATAGCTCCCAACCATACCACCTTGAACAGTGAAATTGTGAGCTTGGGCAGCCTCACCATAGGTTAGCAGACAAGGTAATAGCTACATTGTACCCAAAATGATCAGTTACGTCCCATGACTTGAATCATTACAGTTCACTTTGTGCCATTTTGACCTAGCAAGGATTCCATGTCTGAACAACACCATCTTGACACTGACTTAACACTTTTGAGAGCTTTGTGTTGTATTTGCCAACATTGAACATATTTTAGAAAAATGCTTGCTTAAATGTGCCACTATACTAATATACTGTCAGTTCTAATATACCAACAATGTCTGCACCAGCAATGATCACTACAATATAAGCTGGAGGTTTCCAAGGTTCAAAGTCCGTTGCAGCACTTCACCGAAGCAAACTTATCGGACAAGGCTTATGAATCACACTCACTTCCCGTTGTTTCCCTTGAACCACTCTGACGCAATGAGGCACATAGAACAAGACAATACAGGTAAAAGTCGAGAATCACACCAAATCGAAAACAACATAGCCAAATAGATGAACAGCGGCCTTTCTCAGGCACTCCTCAGACCTTAATGAAGCAGGTGCGCGCCCCCACTTACACTCCTCCACCACCTGTCTCCAGACCGCGACCGCACAAATCCCACACGCCCCAGCAACAACAAACGAAAAGAAACAATCAGCTGACTTACCTTCGCTGCCTTGCTAGAAATCCACTAACCTACTGCTCTATATATTAAAGTACTGCCAAATGTACCTAGGTTGTAGTTTAAACGACCGTGACCAGGGTCCGGCACATTTTGGCCTCTAGCGTATGTTATACGACGAAACGGACAAGAATTCACTATGGATGTAGGTCACTGATGGTGTTAGTTCAATGCAAAACTCAATGATTGAGACCTTCTGGGGTATGCAGCATTGGCCACGGGCGTCGCTTTGTATTCTTTTGTGAGGGCCATGGACCCCCAGTGGTGAGTAAGGTCCTCAACGTTAGAAAACGAAGGTAGAAGATGGCCACTACACACTGAATATTATTGATCTTTCTGCGTAGTGGTGTAGACATGGAAGATGCAGGAGAGCAGCTTGATACCCTCAACTTCAAAATTATTTCCTCAAATGATGGGTAACTTCGGGTAATGTGTGCTTAACCAGTTTAACAAAGACGTATTTTGCCAACACACATAACATCATACACTTATTCCGTAGTGTAAACGCGACATTGACGGGACCGATTCACTGGTCTCGTGGATATGTTTTGCCAAGCGTCATTTTGTCTGCTTCCTATGAAAGGCTGCAGGACTAGCAATGTTTTACTTGAAACCCAACTTTCTTTACTGTCTCATGAGAAAATATAAAAAAACCAGCAGAGTGGTAGTTTTGGCGCGGTATCGTTGCTTCAGAATATAGGCTCAGCCATTCCATGGATATATAATCCACACAACAGAAACAAATTATGTTCGGACATACTTTGACTCGGATTCCGTGCTGCAAATAATTTGTTGCTATCACTCCGAACCACTAACCAATTATTGTAATGAAGGTTTCACGGAGCCATTCTGCCTCGGGCCCTTATCGGAATAGCACGAAGAAAGTTTTTCCGTGTCATGCACTTATGCGACTCTCACCGCCCTGTGGTCAGCCTGACGTGTCAAGTCAGCAGCCAAATGGTCCTCCTCGGCGACACACATACGAACGTTTGTTCTGGAAGGCAAACACTCCACTACGCGTTTCGCCACGTTACGAACGTGGTCAGTGTAACTTCATTTGAGCCCAGCTCTACCAAAGTTGGGCCTCGGCAACAGCGATTGTTGTGTCTTTGCGGCGATATAGTTTTTGCAAGCATTTTGCGCGTTGCAGCCGACGGGACTGTAGAAAAGCGATGCCTGTTAACTGCTACATCACTCCATTTTTTCCAAAGATATCACCTGTGACGTTGAAATCAGCCATGAACAGTTGAACTCAGACAAATACATGTCGTCATTAATCATAACGTTGCTGTTGTTTCTATACATTTTTCCACCTGCACTTGCCCTACACGTTTTGCGGCAAAAGTATAGGAAAGTTTGAGCATTATCTGCAATCCTGTGGTCACTATATTTTAGGATGTGTAGCTGCATTCTTGTACAATTTCCAGGTTCACGGATTTGGGTTTAAATTAAACTTTCAGACCGCAAAGGAGAAGCTGCATTACCATGTGCAGCAGAAAATGTTATAATTTAATGGTGCACAATCGTCCGCATTTCAGTGGCACTTATTGGGTAGATTGGTTTGTCACTGCTTTGTTATGCTGAGGGAGAGCTAGTCCACATAACATTATGATGGCTTACAAAGTATGGTGTACGTCCATTTCATGAACATTTACGCACGCCTCAGATGCGCAACAACGATTTAACACGCACACGTGTGGCCGGCTGCTTGCGACGCGCTCGATGGAGGGGGAGGGGGGATCAGTATGGCCCCTGAGATAAAACAAAACAAGAGAATCACAAACGCTAAATTCACAAGGTAGAAAGGCTTGTGTATGAACCTGCTTGTCAAATCTTGAGATAGACTTGGTCAAAAAACCTGCTAACCTTTGGAACAAACGAGTTCAAGTTCCAGGTCGGAATCCGAAGTGCTTCCAGATCTTCTCATGTAACCGCCTTAACCTTAGGCGCCTGTTCTAAGCAAAATTTCACTGGTGTTCCTTTCAGTTCACACGGGCTGGAGTGGCTTGCGCCACACCACTCCGAAAAAAAGCGGTTGATATCGGCCATTTTAGCTCAGTGACCTTTGTTGGCCTGTAAGAAGTCCAAATAAGACGTCTGTTGACATGCCTGTGATCAAGAAATTTGAGACGATCAAAAAATATCACTTAAAGCACGTTCTTTAGCGAAAAAAGCATCTTGGTTTTAACCTCGGTCCGACCTTCATACTGACCCAAGTTCAATGGCGTTAGTCGTTATCCTAACCTCAGATGGCTAATTGTCTAAAAAATGTATCTCAGAGTTTTATGGCTTCGTTTGACACGCGCTCCGATGAGGGTCAAACTGGCCCCCTGAAGGATTTTCTAGAATGGTTTCCGAGCAGCGCGGCACAGCCGCGCCAAATTTTGCATAGCTGTAGACAATTGAATGGCGGATCGTTTGGCATAAGAAACTTAGATGCAACTGGTAAGGTCGCTGGCCTTTGGCAGGTCAAACTCAGGCCATGGTTTCGGGGAAGTCAATTTCTAGAGAATCGTTTAATGTGATACAACAACGGATGATTGGACGGAGCCGCACATCTCTGAGATGCTTTCTTAGGCAATACCATATTGAATGAGCAAATTACGCTGACCTAAGGTCAGGTAAAAAGGTAAGACCAACGTCAAAACCAATTGCTTGCTTTTTTGCTCTAGGGGTTGCAGTATGATATAGTTTCTGGTGCTCATTTCAAATTTATTGATAGCAGGAACCGCATTTTACATATTCCATGGATTTCGTACCGATCAAAATAGGTCATAAACCTAAAATGACTCAGGTCGACATTTTGTTTTTAGAAACATACTGCCTAGCGTAATATTTGCGGCTTATTCAAATGCAAAACTCAGAGAAGTCTTGTGTGATTTCAGTCACCATGACCTTAAAAAGGTCAAACAAGGTCACTGAACTTAACTGAGCATGTGAACTTTTGCTTAGAACAATTATCTAGGTTCTGGGGGCACTTCGGAGACCAACCCGGAGGTTAACCTTATTTGACCTTATTTAACCAGGGGGTCATGACCTAGGCACCTTAAACTTTGGCCTAAGTGAGTTCACATGCAGGCCAACGCACTCAGTCAGTTTGGTGTCTTTAGCTCCCTTAGTTCCCGAGATTTCAGGGGCTGAAATTAACCCCTCCTAACATAGTGAACATAGTAACCCCTAACATAGTGAAACCTCAGGAGTAGTGACGACTAATAATATCACTGGGTAGTGTCACTGCAGCACGGTCAAGGCATAATAAAGATATCAATTTAATAATATTCGAGTCCGAATTGCGCTGTCGACACTTTGTAACAGCATTACGCTTCTTCCCTACGGTCGCGTCGACCATCTTGATCATTTATCATCGCGCGTCATCATGACAACTATCGTGCACACCTCTACTGGTGCAAATAAAACAACGCTTGTGATCAGCCCAGCAGGCAAGGGCCGGGAACCGCATTGGTCCAAGTTTGAAGCAGTGCGTCACATGGATCATGCGGTGCTGTCATTTTCAAATCTCAAGTGCGCCTCGAAAAGATGCACTGTGGTTAACTCCATAAAGGAGCAAGCAAAGCCATAGCACAAGGTTTTGTTGGATTCGCGGAATAATAGCTTTATGCTCGCATATCTTTTTGTCTAAACAGTGCTTCAAGTTTTCGTAGCATTTATTACACAAACGTTTCGACGCATTATTGAGTTGCAAACACAACGGATCAACCAGTTGGAAAAAGCAAACCAAGTTAAACGTATTTATTTCATAATGGTGAGCATTAAGTCACATGAGGTTTCGCCGGAAGCGTCGGCCGCTTCGAGTCAAAATTCTGAGTTACGCAGAAATATTTCAGGAAAACTCGTGTTAGTGATCAAGTCGCACGCATCTGATGTAACACTGAGTGAAAGTAAAAGGATGGGATAATCCCTTCAATCTTAGGCTGTTACGTTAGCTTGAACGGTTCCACAAGAATTGTATTTGATGGTAGTGATGGTCTGACTTCTACCCGCCACACGTCAGCGACATGAGCATGTACACCTAGATTTCCATGCCAAAAACCCGCTATTCAATTGTCCAAAGGCATGCAAATTTGGCGCGGCGTAGAAGCGCCAAAACTTTGTCATTAGTGCAAGCAAATGTTTAACTCCCAACAGAACTGTATCGTTGTCGTATATCGCTGTGCACCTACCAACGTTAGAACGGTTACGCCGCAACGGTGATATATTTTTGTTGTTGAAAAACTTCGGAAGCGGAGTGGCCGAATTGATTCTAGACTCGAGCGCGTGTTAAAAAAACCGGACGTGTGGACGTCCTGTTAATAGCACAAGCATCTTCTTGGCCAAAAAACAGTACGCTGGTCTTCATTTTTTGGAAGCGCATTTTTAGGTATCCAATAAAACCAGTGCGCTCACAAACGCCAGATATGAACCTCTCGACAATTTTATTTTTCTTGGCCTTGATCGTCGCGCGGCCAGTGAAATGTGGGATTTTATGGTAGGTACGAAGTAGGCAGGTTGGTAGGCTGCCAGGCTGCCGCAGGCTGGACGGGATCATTTTCATGCCGGCCAACATCAAATGGCTTGCGTGACCTAAAACCCTACCGACGAGGATGGGATTCGAACCCACGCGTGCAGAGCACATTGGATTAGCAGTCCAACGCCTTAACCTCTCGGCCACCTCGTCCCTGTCACCTCTCACCTGGCACCTTTTCAACGTTGTACCCCAAACGAAGGAAATGGACGTAACTGCATTGCGTGAGATGACATCCGACCAAGGCAGGTCCGATCTGACCAAGTCCAGGCAGATCATATCAGATCAGGTCATATGAGCCTATGAAGTGAGGTCCCCACTCGAGGCAGCTATTTTCTCCTTCAGGAACAAGTCCAAAAGCTATGATTTCCACGCCCACGCGGTTCCCATCATTTGCTTCTCTCGTGGTATGCGATGA